TTCCCCGATCCCCCCCCCCTCACCACTCTCTGCCCCATTCCCCTCCTGCCCCTGTGCCCTCACTCCATCCCTACCCTCCTCATGCCCACCCCTTCTTTTAAGCCTTCTACCAGGACCTCCCCCACCCCCCTCTAACTCCCAATGCCCTTACCCTCTCCTCCCCCAGCCTCATCCTGTCCCCCCTCCCACTGACACCTCCCCTCCTGCCCTTTTCCTCATTGTCTGTACTTGGCCCCCTGGGATTTGTCTCTCCTCCCCCTCCGCAGAAGCCCATTCCTCTCCCATCCCATCTGCACAAGCCCATCTCTCTCCCGCCACTCCCCCCCTCCACACATGCTCCTTCCCCACCTTCTGCCTTCCACTTTGTGGGGCCAGAGTCTGCGCTCGGGCCCTGGACTCTGAACCCGGAGCTAGACCATGCGGCGCAATGCACCACCGATGCATGGCATGGCAGCAGCCAGTGAGGGGGAGCTGCACTGAAAGCCGTACAAAACAGAGCCTGGCCATGGCCAAGGGGGACGCTCTGGGGGCAGGATGGGAGTACACACATGGGGTCAGGGCCCACTCCAAGAAGAGCCAGAAGAGAAACAACTCCAAATATTGCTGGAGCAAGGCCCCCAACTCTGAATATTAACTCGCCGCCCATAGCGCCCGGCACACTTCCGAGTTCAGGGCGCGGGGCCCCATTCGGGGGAATCAGCCTAAGGCTGGCCCTGACAATACCAACCAAGGAAATTCCTTATAAAGCCAATTAAATTTATTCCTTAACAAAATAGAAGTCCACTGCTTCTCCCTATTGCACAAGGCCCAAGTTCATCAGTGAAGAACTTAAGTTCTGTTTTAGTTGTCTTGATTCACAATTACCTTTAAGATACCTTTATTTTCTTTTTATTATACATATCCTAACTCTGTGGGCCCTCTTGAAGTTCTTATTTGACAGCACAGATTTAAAATCACTAAAGTATCTTTTCCCTCATAACCTCTATTAACAACAACATAGCCATGGAAACACATAAGGACACAAATCTTATACCACAGCAGCCTCTGCTGGTCAGTCAAGAAACAAACAAATAGGTATCAACCAAGTGCTGGGGGAAGGAAAGTGTGAGTGTTGAAAGAAAACTGCAAATCCATGCACACAAATTCTTTATCATTTAATATAATTACCACCATTTTTGTATTTCAACTTAAAGAATGTAAACTATTGATTTGGTACCACATAACTATAGGCATCTCTCATACAGATATGTGGCATGAGAACTGCAGTTACCTAAATTAACTCAACTATTACACTTCTCTGCCTTTTGCAACATTACTTGATGCAGCTGCGTACAGAAACCGAAGTGCATTTACATCTAATTTTAAATGTGCCATTTCTTCTAGACCCTTTGAAGTGACCTCCTTTGTAGCAAGTAAAACTTGGTTCACAGATGCTTCTTAAGTATCCATTTTAAAAATACATGTTTTAAAAATATAATGAATAAAAACGTGGGGGGGGGGGGGGCAAAAACCCAGTGCAGACTTTCAGCTCATGACCTTAATAGTAACTATGGTTAGAATTTGGGTGAACTTACACACAGAAATAAATATATTTTAAGTACTTATATTAAGTCACTACTAGTACTAGTCACTAAAAGTGCTAAACATATTGGTAGATGTTCACCCTACAATATTAAGCTAAGATACAAGACAACCAAGTTGTCCAGAAGGCTATTCAAACCAACTTTAGTAAGCTCAAATGTTCAGCATATATTTCTATTTAAAAAACTACTACAATGTCTTTCAATCCCATTTCACTGAATACAAGCCTCTAGACATCTTTATGTAGCATAGTAATACTCAGACTGAGCCTCACAAGCTGCAAATGGCTCCTTAATGTGTAACTTACAACTCTTACTAGAGTATATTAAAACACCATATGACTTAATTATTCACAAATCTAAGTTCTTAACCAATCAGGATGCTTTTACGGTGTCATCAATACATTGTAATTGGTAAAAATAATATTACTTAGCCAGTAATTTTGCTGTGAGAATAATATATTAAAATATATTAGATATTAAAACCAAAGTATTTCCCCTGCATTACTGTTGAAATATGAATATATATTACTATAGTAAACAAAATAATGAATTCACACTACCAAAGCTATTTTCATAGAATCTGAGAACTCGAAGGGACCTTGAGATATTATCAACTCCAGTCCCCTACCCTCACAGCAGTACCAAGCACGATCTAGATCATCCCTGAGACACGTCTATACAACTTGCTCAAATATATCCAGATATAGAGATTCTACAACCTCCTAAGCAATTTATTTCAGTATTTAACCATCCTGACAGATGGTTTTACATACCAATCTAAGCCTCCCTTGCTGTAATTGAAGACCCTTGCTTCTTGTGCGATCATCATAGGCCAACAAGAACAACTTTCCTCCCTCCTCCATGTAAAACCCTTTTAGATACGTGAAAACTGCTATCATGTCCCATCTCAATCTTCTCTTTTCTAAGCTAAACAAGCCCAATTCTTTCAGTCTTCCCTCATTGTTCATGTTTTCTAGACCTTTAATCATTTTTGTTGTTTTTCACTAGACCGTCTCTAATTTCTCCATATCCTTCTTGAAATGTGGTGCCCAGAACTGGACACAATACTTCTACTGAGGCCTAATCAGTTCAGAGTAGAGTGGAATAATTATTTACATGTCTTGCTTACAACACTCCTGTTAATGCATCCCAGAACAATGTTTGCTTTTTTTGCAACAGTGTCACACTGTTGACTCATATTTAGCTTGTGGTCCACTAGGACCCCTAGATTCCTTTCTGCAGTACTCCTTCCTAGACAGTCACTTCCCATTCTGTATGTGTGGAACTGATTGTTCCTTCCTAAGTGGAGTACTTCGCATTTGCCCTTATTAAACTTTATTCTATTTACCTCAGATCATTTCTCTAGTTTGTCCAGATCATTTTGAATTATGACCCTATCCTCCAAAGCACTTGCAAATCCCTCCCAGCTTGGTATCAACCACAAACTTAATAAACATACTCTCTATGCTATCATCTAAATCAAGGGTCTCCAAACTACGGCCCGTGGGCCGGATGCGGCCCGCGAGGCCCTCTCATCCGGCCCGTGGAGACCTTTTTGTCTGGCCCCGCCTTCTTCCGCGTGCCGGCGAGATTATCCCTGAGGCGCTTGAGTCCGAGCATTGGTGTCAGTGGGAGAAACGGATTCGCAGGCCCCAGCGCGCGCACGGGACAGCAGGTAGCCCAGGTCAGGGACGGCTCCGCGTGCCGCTTGGCCGGGCAGGCGAAAAAGGGGGGTCTCGAAGGCGGGCTCCGGATCAGAACCGGCGGCAGAGGATCGCGGGAGGCTGGACGGAGGGGAGGAAACCCGACGGTGGTTTCTCAGGGGCTAGGAGCGAGGGGCTACTTCTCCCGGATGTGGCCAGTTGCCCAGATGAACTGCAGCTGGAAGTCATTGAGTTGCAAGCAAATGACCTCCTTAGGGACAAGTTCAAAATAGGACTGGTGGGTTTTTACCAGTTTTTGCCCAAGGAAGACTTTCCTAATGTCAAAACTTTTGCATCAAGGTACCTTTCAATCTTTGGAACAACATACCTGTGTGAACAAACATTTTCAAGAATGAAATACGTGAAGAACAATTTGAGAACAAACTTGTCCGATGATAATCTCAGGTCACTGTTGATGTTAGGGACAACAAATCTAAAGCCAGAAATGTCTGCTATTTTGGCATCCAGGAAACAATTTCACCATTCACACTAATACAGGTGTTCATGTGTAGTGTATCAATGTGTTATTAAATAAATAATTAAAAACAACATCCATTTTTTGATTGGTTTTTATTTGGACCTCAAGTGTGTAGTCGGCCCCCGAACTGCTGTTTGATAGTTAATGCGGCCCTCGGGCAGAAAAGTTTGGAGACCCCTGATCTAAATTGTCGAAGATATTCAACAGAATCACTCCCAAAACTGATCCCTGCAGAACCCCACTTGTTATGCCCTTGGAGCATGACTGTGAACCATTAATAACTATTCTTTGAGAACTGTTATCCAGCCAGTTATGCACCCACCTTATAGTAGCCCCATATAGGTTGTATTTCCCTAGTTTCTTGATAAGAAAGTCATGCAAGCCAATATCAAATGCTTTATACTGAAGTCTAGGTATATACCATGTCCACCACTTCTCCCTTATCCATAAGACTTATTCTATCAAAGAAAGCTATCAGGTTGGTTTGACATGATTTGTTCATTACAAACCCATGCTGGTTGTTACCTATCACCTTATTATCTTCCAGATGTTTGCAGATGAATTCCTTAATAACTTGCTCCATTATCTTCCCTGGCACACAAGTTAAAATGACTGGTCTGTAGTTTCCTGGGTTGTTATTTCCTTTTATATATGGGCACTAGAATTGCCCTTTTCCAGTCTTCTGGACTCTCTCCCGACTTCCATGACTTTTCAAAGATGATAGCTAAAGGCTCAGATACCTCCTCTATCATCTCCTTGAGTATTCTTGAGTATTTTGGGTAATGCTGTTTGCTTGTTTGTGTCCTGAACCACTGAGGACTGAGCAACACTGATGTAACAATTTGCAGTCTAATCTTTTTCCCCAACTACAAGAATAGCAATATGTTCACCTATGACATGATGAAATATTAACCAATCTAGTTTTTTGTAAACTCTAGGGAATCAACACAGTCAGGGCCTGCTTACTACATATTACCATAACCTCAGAATTTCATTGACTGGATTTCTGATAGTGATTTAGAGGTAATTAAAAAGACAAAAGAAAATATTTTTACCCTGTTAAAATTCCGTTCACGCGAATCTTCAAACTCTCCATTACTGGTCACAGGAATTTCTGCTGCTGAATTTTTAGGAGACTCTTGAGCCATTGCGAACTCCTACGGTGTTTAAAAAACAAACAAACAAACAGGTTAGTGTTTGCCAAGATACCAGAGTAACGGGCATATTATGAAAGTGGAAGGTAGAAAAATTAACAATTGATTTTACGTGCCAGTGGCTGGTACAAAAAGGGAATCTAATTCTAACATTTCATTGATACACCAAATCTAAATTCAATTACACTAAAAAAAGTCACCATGTGATGCACAACTTGCAAAAAATTATCTAACAGTTCTATGACATAAGAAAATATCAGAAAACGTAGGACCTGACATACACCACAGTGTTTGGTCATTCTGTTTACCTGTACATACAGATCAGAATCTGAGAAGTAGAATTAAATACATAAGACTCTGAAGAAATAAACTGTTTATACTTTTAAGCTTTTGTACGCAGTGACAGATGGCACACAGAGCACTTGTCATATCCATCATGTTCCAAAGTACTGTACTTAATGAAATGAGCCAGTCTTGAAAACCCCACTTCATCATGGCAAGCAGCCAGCAACTGTTTCCTGGTGAGTGAAATGGCTTTAATAATCAATTGCTGCAGAGTTTTAGCTCTCATTTTTAAATAAGTTATGATTCTAGCCCTTACATTGCAAATTATGCCAATGCAGCCTGTGTTCTGGCCCAAACTACTACGGGGTTTCTGTTGCTGTTTGTGGCTCTGCCAGAAGCAGCAGTCTCAAATCAACAATCAATACTCCTGCTACTCAAAGAATCACTTCAGCTTCACACTGTCACTGCTTGGTAAAGTTGTAAGCAATAGCAGACAGTTACAGGAGGCTTTTGTGTGGTAGTGAGTCCCAAAAGGGAAGAGACTGAAGAAAGAGCAGATTGAATACCATGTTTTCCCATTTCCACCACAGCAGTTGGACAAAAAAGCATCTTATCTTTTTCCAATAGCTGGAGGAAAGAAGACTGAACATTTTATACAACAAATTATGCCTTCAAACAGCAAACCAGCATCTCTTCTGCCCCCACACAGTGAAATCTTTGTACTACATGAAGTTTTCTGTCACTGGTTTGGGAAGGCCTGCATAATTCATACTGATAAAGCGTGTTATGCTTTATCAAACTTCCACCATTGTTTAAACTGTGTTGCTGACAGAATGAGTCTAGTCCATGAAACATTCCTTGTTTTACTGGCAACTTGAGGTTCTCCCTAGACTCAAATAACCGTTGATTCATTTTCTAACCAAGCACTAAATGTACATGTGTCTCAAGCATGGATTTGAACCCATGTGTTTCTCTATCACCAGTGTATTTTCCAAACCAAATTAACATTAAATGAATTACGCATGCATGCATGCTTTAAAAAATAAAATCAGACAATAAATAATGAAGTATCCACTCAATCTTTTGAAGAAAAGATCATCATTTCATCCATCAGCAAAAAAGTACACAGTGAAATGTGAAAGACCAAAATGCGGCGGCTTCTTCCCCAGCAAGCCACGCTCAAACTCTTCAGTATTCCCAACCTCTGCTTCCTTGTGGAAGGGGACAGGAACTAGGGATAAATCTTAAGCTTCCTGTGTGTGTCAGACAGTCCATTGCATGAGTCACAAAGCAAGAACACTAGTCATTAAAGATAGAAACATTAACAGCCCTATTGGGTTAAAAAGGTGCAAAGGCTTGCCCATTTTGACATGCTATGCTCTTTCAGTACAATATAAAAGGTTTTATGCAAGATCTATAAAATGTGGTCTAGCAGCACTAATGTACTTCAATAATTCTATACTTTAAAAGACTCTTCACAACTTGCATTCCTATCAAGCTAC